TATTTGAACTTTTTAACTCATCTCTGGCATGCTTGGCCTTAAGGTGAGGAGAACCATGATTATGATGTCTTCAAGGGTTTTCACCGTGACTGCAGGACCTGCTTCTTGATCTTGAGCTGTATGTTCCTGATCGACTTCACCTATAATGACAGTATCTTCTTAGAGAATGTGATCTAGAATGTGAGCGTGTTCTTGACCTTGATCGGCTTGTGCTTCTACCATTCTTTTCTTACACTGTTGTAAGGGCTTTTGAACACCTGCTGTCTGTCCTCCGGCTCTTTTCTGACTGTCTTCACACTGACAGACACTGGAGACTTTTCCTCAGCTTTTGCTTCTCTTGGTGATGATGGTTTAGAGGCTGGAGAAAATCCACCAAGAGTTGAAAGGGTTGGAGTTCCATCAGGATTCAATCCCTTTGCTTTTAATTTGGCTTCTTATAAGGCTACTTTTTGTTTTCCCACTTCTTTTTTTTCTAGCATTTCATAGTTTGGCTTTTTTTCTGGTATAAAGCCAAAGGGTTTCTATGCATATTTCTGGATCTCCTCTTCAGTGGTACCAAAATGAAGAAACCAGTGGGGGTGAGTCAGCATGGAATCTGAAGGGCTCGAAATGCAAGTTAGATGCAAGCACATGGCATCGTCTCTGGTTGAAACCGAACAAAAACATTAGTGGAAAACCGTCATTCATGTAATTCCAGGCTGTCTGAAGAAGAGTTTGATTACGTTCACGTTCTAAGACATAAGAATGATCTTATGGGGATGCTTGACATTAACACAAAATCCAACTCCTTTAGCACTCTCCTCTCCACCTTGATAATTTGATTTTTGGTGTTAATGTAGTGCTGATCAAGGATTAGAGGACTTGGGGTCTGTTGCCATGACAACAGCTTCATCACTGTGTACCACTCCACATCGCCCAGGCTTTGGGAAGTGTCGTTGGTTGCTTCTTCCTCTTAACTGGCATAGGTGATGAAACACATTAAACACATCTCTTTTTAAAAAAAATTTTTATTATTAATTTCAATGAAAATTTACAGAGACTTTGGATTTCCATTCATTCACTGTTGCAGATTTTCCCCCTCATAACCCTCCCCCCAATCACATCTCTTATTCTTCTAGGTGCTTCTTCAATTTTTGGTGCAAGATTAATTCAAGCCATAGCAACAATCTTGAAACTATGTTTTGACAAAAGACTTGTAGTAGAAAAAGCGATGAAACAACACCTTCCCCTTTGCCATCACCACCTGCAGATGAGGAGAGAAAGGAAGCACAGGGTCAGGCGGGCCGCACCAGGCATCCCCACCATCTTATCCTAATGGGATCTTCTAAAGATTAAATCTGCATGCTCATCAAAACCATCTTCCATCAGCATGAAGAAGCCAGAGAGTCTGCATCCAGTTCCCAAATCAATAAGACTAAATACCATTGGAAAATGCTTATCATTCCCCTGTAGCATCTGGTCCCCACTGGATCCTTTTCGTTTTCTTCACCTGCTCCCCCACCAACCAATTTCTGCAGCTTTGCAACTGCACCCCTGCCCATCCTCACCCTTCTGCCCCCAACCCTCGCCTCCTTGTACCCCCAATATGTTTTTTCCAATAAAATAAAAAAAAAATTAAAAAATCTTTCAGCAGAGTGTAAAGAAAACCTACTGCCTGAGAAAAAAACACACTTGTCAATACCATTTCAAATAATGGTCTCATATCAAAAGTTTACAGAATCCTACAGGGCCTCCACAAGAAAAAGACTGATAACACAATTATAAAATTGGCAAAAGACATGGAAAGAATTTTCACAGAGGAAGATATTCAGATGGCCAACAGACACATGAAGAAATGCTTAAAATCACTGGCAATAATAGATGCAAGTCAAAACCGCAAAGAAATACCATCTCTAGCAGTGGCAAACTTTAACAGGTCAGCAAGTAATAAATTCTTGAGAGGATGGGGCGCTCTTTTATAGAAGAGCTTTTAAAAAAATTATTAAATTTTATTAAATTTAATGAACTTCACAGAGATTTTGGATTTCCATTCAATCATTGTTGCACTATTTTCTCTACCTGCCCCCCAGTTTGTTCGTCTTTTTCCCCCTTGAAAGTCTGTTTTAATTGTCCCATTGCCACAGTGCTTGTCAAAGCCAGTTCTGATTAATCTCCTTTGTCAGTGTGTCATTTGCCATTCCCTATCACTCCTCCCTGAGAGAGACTTCACCCTGATTCATAAGGAAAAGGGACAGTGTATTCTCTTAGCTACTTCCTTCTGAAAAGGGATGCTGTAGGTGTCAGGGAAAAGAGCTTTTTTGTTTTTTGTTTTTTTAATAGGAGCTCTTTTATAGATACACTGTTGGTGGGATTGTAAAATGGTACTACCATTCTGGAAGGTAGTTTGCCATTTCTTCAGAAAGCTGAACATAGAAATTCCATATAACCCAATTATTCTACTGCTTGAGATATATATACCCCAAGAAACTGAGAAATGAGGCACAAAACAGAGACTTGTACACCAATGTTCATAGTAGCATTATTCACCAATTCAAGAACATGGAAACAGCCCAGATGTCCAACCATAATCAAATGGATTGAGAAATTATGTACATTCACGTGATGGAATACTACATAGCACGCAGGAGCAATGATTGTGTAAATTACTACATAACTTAAGAGGGACTGGAGAGCATTATGCTAAGTGAACTAACTCAGTTCCATAAGGACAAATATTGTATAAGACCATTAGTGTAGCAATAGAAAGATAACTAGTAAACCGTGTATGAGGACCAAAGAAGGGACAGAAGCAGAGGGGTAAGGATGGGTGGGGAGGTGGGATAATCATAGGATCACACAATTTAATGGGTGAAGGAAGAGGTGAGTTAAAGAAATGGGAAAGATCTGGTTTGAAAAAAATAAAGTATATGAACTTTGTAAGTAAACCAGTATAAAATAAAAATTTTATGTTAAAAAAATAAGCTGATGCACAGCCAAAATCTTCTCCAACAGGGTAAAAAGGGAAGCCACAGACTGGGAAAAAGCATTTGGTAATGACATGTCACATAATGGACTTATATCCAGAATTTATAAAATACTTGAGCATCACAACAAGGTAAAGGTGAATAATCCAATAGAAAAATGGGCACAGGATACGAACAGACACTTCACCAAGGAAGATATTCAGATGGCCAACAAGCACATGAAGAAATGTTAAAAATCCCTAGCTCTAAGAGGGATACAAATCAAAACAACTATGAGACATCATCTCACCCCAGTCAGAATAGCAAAATTTAACAGAACAGCAAGCAACAAATGCTGGCAAGGTTGTGGAGAAACTGGAACCCTTATTCACCATTGGTGGGAGTGTAAAATAGTGTAACCACTGTGGAAGGCAGTATGGCAGTTTCTCAAAAAGTTGCAAATAGAGATCCCATTTGACCCAGCAGTTCCACTACTGGGAATATACCCCAAAGAGACTATAACTGACATCCAAGCAGATATATGCACACCCATGTTTATCGTGGCTTTGTTCACAATAGCAAAGAGCTGGAAACAACCCCAAGTGCCCATCAACAAACAAATGGATAGGGAAGCTGTGGTATATTCACACAGTGGAATACTAAGCTGCATTAAAAAACAAGAAACTGATGAAATATTCTTCAAAATGGGTAACCCTGGAGGACATTATGCTGAGTGAAGTATCGTATCTCAGTCACAAAAGGACAAATACTGTTGTAAAACATGACTGACCTCAGGTTTGGAGGGAGACTGAGAAATATGGGTTCAGTAATATATACTGCATTGAA